CCCAACACCCCCTCACAAAACCACACACAAACACACCAAAAACCCAACACTAAAAAAACACCCCACCCCCCCCCCACCCCCACCCCCCCCACCCCCCCCCCCCCCCCCCCCCCCCCCCCCCCCCCCCCCGCCGCCGCCCCCCCCCCCCCCCCCCCAAATGCCCACACATCCCACGTCCACCACCACCACACCACCATAACAACCGCACCAACATCCCTTACCTAGTATGATATCACCATGAAAAAGTAAGAAGAACAGAACAGAGCAAAAACAAGAAACGACAGACAGACAAGACAGCGACCATCATCATTATTATAAAGTTTTTTCTTGCGACCACCGAAAGAAAAACACACAAGAACCAGAAAACGCCATACCTACCTAACCTACCTCCGTTTAAACCCCCTTCCGACCCCGTTCCCGCTCCGCTGAGGCATACATACATACCTAAGACGCGCCCTCTCCCTTCCCTTGTCGCCCCTGCCCAAGAATACGGACTGCGGGAGAGAGGGTCCAATAATAAATACGGTAGGGCTAGGACCAGGCCCTGGGCCTTGTCGTCACTCCAGTGCCATATTTACTTACAAAGTTCATATGCAGACAAACACAAACCCCATCGGGGATAACCGGCGTTTCTCAAAAACTACGAATTATGAAGTTTTAAGAAGCAAATCGATAAGCCTTTTTTTGGGCCATGCCGATATAAATAATAGGGGATATATAATATATCATAGCACGTGTTTCTTGGTTGGGATATAAAGCCCTTTTTTGGAACCACGTGCGGTTGGTCCCCTTGTTTACGAGCCAGGGAGAAGAGACTCGGAAGTTTTTTTTTTTCTTCTTTCCTTCTTTTGTTCGACTCGGACCTGGCGCATCCCCTCGTCGGAACTTTCGTCCCGTCCTCTGTACCGTCAGAAAGTACCATGCCTGACTCACCTTCTCCCTCCACGTCCTCGAAAAGCCTGGAGGATGGCCAGAAGCGAGAGGAGGAGCCGCAGGAGCATGTCACGGAGACGGGGTCCGGCAGCGGCATCGAGGTCGGGGTCGGGGACGAGGAGGCCGCGAGAGGCGTGCCCGAGGCCGAGTGGCGGCCCTCGACACACGAGAAGGGCATCATCTACACCCTGGCCATCACAAGTCTGGTCGTCGCCCTGGACGCTACCATTATCATAACACCGCTGAGTGTGAGTAAAATGACACCTCGACATGGATGACGAAGGAAATGCGCTGACCAGAGGTGTGATGTGGATATAGACCATCATCAGAGACCTCCAAGGGACTGCCACGCAGGCTTTCTGGATAGGCACCTCCTATCTGCTCGTCAACGCGATCACCATGCCCGTCATCTGCGCCGTGAGCGACGTGTTCGGGCGGCCCATCTGCCTCATGTTTGCGCTCGTGGCATTCACGATCGGCACCATCCTCTGCGCCGTCGCGCGGGACGTCACCACCCTGCTCGTCGGCCGCTCTATCCAGGGCATCGGCGGTGGTGGCATCCACAGTCTGGGCCTGGTGATCCAGACGGATATCGTGCCGCTGAGGTGGCGGCCCAAGTGGTACGGCGTGACGTGAGTACTAACCAAAGGCCGTTTTGAGGAGAGGAAAACTTGGTTGACCAATGCCATTTTCGTCTAGACTCGGATTTTGGGCCCTCGGTCTAGCTATCGGGCCAATTGTCGGAGGCGGCATCGTTAGCCGCACCACCTGGCGCTGGATCTTCTACATCATGTTTCCCTTCCCCGCATTCGGCATGATATGCGTGCCGTGGATGTTGACTCTCAAGCCCAAGAAGGCCACGGTCCGGGAGAAGCTGAAGCGGATCGACTGGATCGGTTCCTTCATCTTCACGGTGTCCGCGACATTGTTTCTCATCGCCACTTCCTGGGGAGGTTCAGAGGTACGTGATAAACCCGAACCGCGACGGTTGAATGGAAGAGGTTGCTAATTGAGAGCCAGTTCGAGTGGAATGACGTCGCGACAATAGTACCGCTGGTCATAGGTTTCGTCGGCTTGATCCTCACTTTAGTATATGAGAAGATGTGGGCGAAGAACCCCTTCTTGAGACACAGCCTATACCATAATGCCGCCTCCACGGTCGCGTACGTGTGCGGCTGTATACAAGGCCTAGTCGTAAGAGTTCTTTCATCGTCCCCTTTTCTTTCTCCCGCAACGAGCAGTGTGAGCTGATGCCTGGTCTTCAATCAGATGTACGGGTTCCTGTATTAGTAAGTGCATCTCGTCCGTCAAATGTACCACTCGGATCCACGGCAAGTAACCTACTGACAACCTAGCATAGTGGGCCTTTCTATTTCCTTTCAGTAAAGCAGTACTCCCCTCTCAACACGGGCCTCGCAATGCTCCCAGCCACGCTGACCGTGACGACGGCGGGCATCATCACCGGTCGTCTGGTGACGCGGTACAACAACTACCGCTGGGCGATCGTCCTCGGATGGCTCGTCGGCTGCATCGGGGCGGGCCTTTTCATCCTTTGGCCGTTGAACAACAGCGCAGCCGTATGGGTCATCACCTACACCGTGATCGGGACCGGGCAAGGGGCCGTGCTGAATGCACAGAACTTCGCCTCGCAGGCGCTATGTAAGCGCGGCGACGAGGCGGCGGCCGCGGCCATGTACGCGTTCGTCAGGCAGTTTGGCATGGCCACGGGCGTGGGGATTGGGGGCACTACGTTCCAGAACATCATGAAGCTGAAGCTGGAGTGGCTGGGCCTGCCCCTCGACATCGCCAAGGAGGCCGAGAGCTACATCACGGTGCTGCACAAACTCCCGACGGGGGATTTCAAGGACCAGGTCATCGAGGCGTACAACTTCGGCTTCACGGGCTTGTATTCCTTCTACCTGGGCGTCTCTGTCATTGCGCTTGCCCTCTCGCTGGCGTTTATCAAGAATGCGGATTTGACGCGGAGACATGAGAGCGAACATCGTCTCGAGAGCAGATGGTCTGACAGCTAATATCGTTTCAGCAGCATCCAAGCTGTTGCAGTGGAGGTAAGCTGGCCAGCTAGGTACTTAGGTTAGGTTGAGTGACTGGCCGAGACTGGGAGATCGTTTGACAGGTGTAAAAGTACGAATCTCGCATGGGGCGGTCGGAGGAAAAGTACGGGATAGAACTGAACGGGGCTGGTGAGGAACGGAACATTATACCCAGGGCGTGTCAATCGCCATATATAGGCGTTATTAGTAGCTGTTACCAAGTCTTTCTTTCGTACATAGTCATCCTCAACTGCTGTATTTGTTTTTGCATTGTAGGCGATCACGAGGGAGAGAATCATTCAAGAAGTTTGCATGGCGAGGGACAGTCATTTCGGAACCCGCGGGACAGGAGCTCGATTTTACAGAGAAGGAAAGGGGATGTAAATGGGAAAAGGTAAATAGGAGAATACGATTTCAAAAAAGAAAAAAGAAAAAGAAAACTGAAAAAATAAAAAACGAGAAAAAAATCAGTTGCTTCTCCCAGTAATCTGGAAGGCATCAGGAATTGAGCCCGATGCGGGGGTCGAACCTATTAGGCTATGTTAGTATTTGGGAACAATATGCAGAATCCGCTATCTGATCAACTTACCCGCAACCTTGAGATTAAGAGTCTCACGCTCTACCGATTGAGCTAACCGGGCGAGGTTGTGTACAATTGTCGCTGGATCAGCTTGTGAAGCCAGAATCTGTGCATTGGTGGTTGTTTGTGGCAGGATCGTGGGGCTGGAGCGACTCGTGCCCTTGCCTAACCTTAACCTAGTCTGGTAGTCCTACGCTAGTCCTGTTGGGGCGTAAGGCAGAAGATGACATAATCTACCAGCTGTAATAAAATTGGAGCAAATGTTTTGCATACTTTTATGAACAACTGCAGAGTCGGCCGGCCGCAACGTCCCAGCCTTCCCTTCGAGCATTATGTTCCTACCTGGTGCTGCTGCCGAGTTTGACTTACCAGCTCAGCCACAGAACGCGCCCTGCCGAAGCGTAGCTTCCGCCCTTATACCCCGACCCAGATGACCACTATGCAACACATTCCGTCCGCTTAATACCTGCCTACCGAAGAACGCCCTGTCGCACGCAAGCGCTTTGGTTACCCATATCGAGCCTGCATCCAGCAAGATGACTGGGAGTGGCCTGGCCGAGAAAAAGGACGGGACAGCGATGACAAGAAACGAGATGAAAAAAAAAAACGGGGTACCACCTTGACTACAGCATAAAGCGAGACGTGGAAGAACAGTGTGAAAAGGCTCTGAAGTTGGACCAGAACAAGGTGAAGGCCACGTTCGTTCTCAAGGTAAGTCATCTGGCACTTTGCTGGAGGCCCAGTCAGCAAATACACACAATGGATTTTTCCTCATTTGCGCCGGGCCAAACGGGGACCTCGATCCCAATACTATTGAGGCTCAGGTAGGTGAGCCATTCATGCCAAGGACAACAGTCTCATCGTGACACGACATGGAATTCGCATTGTTTGCAACTTCCTTCTCCACGACCTCTATGCAACCTATGGAAGCCCTTGTTACTAGAGGGTTATTTTCCTCAGAATTGGCCTCTTGACAACTTCAACCTCGAAGACGCTTCAAAAGCGCCACAGGCCAACCCATAGAATAAATACTGTGGTAGGCAGGATAAAGATCATTCTATGACAAAGCCAGGCTTTGAATCAAGCCTTTGTGCTCTCTGTTTTGGGTCATTTGACTGTTTCTGGGTGGCTCTTTCTTTGTTTTAGATGAATAAGGTAAAGTTGCTCCGCCTGAACATAAAGATGCTTGTGCAGTAATTGTCTTCACGTGTACCCTCGACCATGAGTCATCATCAATCCTCAAACCCCTTTTGCGTTCACAAAATCAAAATGGGTTCCCAAGTGAAAAGTGAGCCAGACTCAGACGTATCCTACACCGAGCTCTTCGTCAGGAGCCTGGAAGACAGACCAGAACGAGTCGCCGTGCCGACGCGGGAAGAGGTTATTGCCATATGTCCGAGTCCCCAGGCCTCGCCTATGGAAGTGCGCGAGTGGCTCGCGAACTACCTCTCGTATCGCGGGCTTCCGCGCGAGATGTCGGAGTGCTTCATCTGGCGGGGCGTCGAGCTGCACATGGCAACTATCGGGGAATTGACCGATGCCTTCAAGCAGCATTGCAAGCTGCTCAAGGGAGAGGCTGAGATGGTCGCGCGGGATGTTTGTTTCATTATACAGGTAAACCTATCTTCAGAAAAACTGGAACGAGTGCTTTTCTTATGCCATAGTTTTGACATATGTCTACAGCAGAAATCAATACCACCCAGACGCACACCTCTTCGGATATATGTCGAGAGCGTATACGGCAAAGCTCTATACACTATCCTGATGCAGCATATAGATCCCAACAGCACCTACTTCGAGGTCCTCGTCTCCCACATCTGCTGGGTCGGGTTCATTATTCTTCAGTTCGTACTGATTGGTTTGGTTCGCACTACCATTGACTTCTTATCTTTGATGGTCTTGCCACGTCCTAGACCTATATCCAACCCCTAGACCTAGGGACTAATTGAAATGATTTGGAGAAAATACCCCTTGGCACTCTAATGGTGCCATCATACCAAGAAAGACTCCTCCAAGCATCGAGACTGAAAAGATGTATCACCGACTTCCTAATGCGGCGATGGAGGGTTCCCGGGAGAAATGGCAACGGGCAGAAGGGGCCTTGGCCACCAAGTAGGGAAGCTCATCTCTCTACTTGGCACTAAAGCGGTAGCAGGCTCTCCCGACACAGCAGGCCCTGGAAGGGAGGGTTGTTGGAGAAATTAGCTCTTGATGATACCTTGGAAGTTTAGAGGGCTGGTATGCCGAGGATATCATTGTGGGAGGATGGAGGACGATAAGACTGAGCAGATCGAAACTGTATATAAGTTCTCTCCCTCGTTACCTGTCAACGAGAACAAGAGCTTAACAATCCAATCTCATTCTGGACCGGCCTCACTTATCCCGACGTATATGTAATTTAAACAACAAGTATGCTCGTGCCTACACTCCTCCCAGCTCTTTGGAGCATCGGGCTATTCGCCTCCGCAGTCTTGTGTCGTCACAACTGCCCAGTCGCAGACGTTTCGATCATCGCGCACGACGGCGCGTCCGTGGGCGTGGAAGTGAAGTATAAGAATGGTAAGCCTGTTAACACATGACAGAAAGAGACGATACATAGCATAACATACTTTACTATACTTTACAAAAACTAAAAATTGTGGATCAATCAAAAAATAAAAAGTCACCCTCTACACGACCGGAAACGCCACCTCAAAAGACAGAGCGATCTTGTACCTGACGGACATCTACGGGCTCCAGCTGGCGCAGAACCGGCTCCTGGCCGACAGCTTCGGGCGCGCGGGCTACTTCGTCGTGGCGCCGGACTTGTTCAACACCACCACCACCACCACCAATACCAATAGCACCAACTCACCAAAACTCGACCTCGACGAGATGACGCCAGAGCAACTATCTGACTTCCTAACCGCCGCTGACGCAGCGACAGAGGACACGGACGCCATCATAGCCACTGCACTCGAGTACGTTACCCAGGTGAAAGGGATCGCGAGGGTCGGGGCCACAGGGTATTGTTTTGGCGGGAAGTACGCTTTTAGGGTTCTTGCAGGGTCGGGGAGTAGTAGTGCGGTGAAGGCGGGGTTCGCGGCGCATCCGAGTAACTTGCAGGACGAGGAGATTGTGGCCGTGAAGGGGGCGGTTGGGGTTGCTGCTGCTGGTGAGTTTTTCTTTTTCTTCTTCTTTCACTTTTTATCAAGTTCCCTTCTTCTCTCCTTCTTGTATTTCTCTCTTCACATGCTATAAATACCCTTCAGCTGAGTATCTACTCGATGCGAAAATAAAAAGACGGCGATACCATGATGCCGCTTGCCAGACGGGCGCAGATCGAGGCCCTGCTCCTCAACACCACGCAGCCGTACTCACTCGCGCTGTACGGGGGTGTGAGCCACGGCTTCGGCGTGCGCGCCAACGTGTCCGTGCCCCGGCAGAAGTTTGGCAAGGAAGAGGCGTTTTTTCAGGCCGTGAGGTGGTTTGATACATGGGTGTAGGTGAAAGAATTCGGAGTTTGTTGGGGGAAGTGACTTGGGGGGGTGAGGGTTAACTTCAAGGCGAGAGAGTCTAAAAGATCTTGTGCAGGCAGGCATTGCCTGTGATTGTTGAGAAAGATAATGGCAAGTCTAGAACATGTTCACCGGGTTTTTGTCAGATCTGCACAGCTTAACGGGATGACTGAATTGTTGTAAGATCTTCCTTTGGATACCAAGCAAGGGGTACATGCTAAGGTCTATTTTCACATGTTTATCTGCCAGTTAAAGAACGTAAAAAACAAGTCTTCAATACCTCGAGCAATAAAAACACCCAACAACAAAATCTGCTCCCGCTCGACTCCCATCCTAAATACTTACCTAACCTTTCAGCATATTCTGTACAACTGCACTGCGCTGCACTCACTCTCAGAATTTTTCTTACCCATCGCACTTCTTCAATGAAGTATACCGGCGCGTCTTGAAAGGACAAAACGCGCCATGAATGAGTTGACTCATCCGAAAACACCTACCCCGCTTTCAGTCTTTTACCCCACCTTTTTAGCTCGAACCCAGTTCCCAAAAACTTACAGGTTCACAGATATGATTGGCTCAGAAGCTCAGATGGTAAACAAACTTATTTTTGGCGCTTGACTAGAACAGGTAAAGTATTGAACAGCTTTGGGCTTGATTGTTTACTTTGGGCAATAAACAACATTTGACGCGACTCTCCATGGTTACAAGGTGTGTGTGTGTGGTGTGGCAAAAAGACGGGACAGGGACAAGACAGGACTGGACTGTGAAGGGATACGCGTGTGTGGACTTTATCAGATATCAAAGTTGAATTCATAAAAGTTTCAATTGAGAGTTTCACTTTCGATTGTTGTAATTCAAAACTGGAATATCCCAATTGTTTTTGCTGATCTGACACGCGTCTCCTTTGCACATCAAGTTTCTGGGGTGCAAGTCGCGGAGACACAGGAGGATTCGGTCTTTGGGAATTGTGCATGTAATACCAGCAGTTATACTCTGCATCACTCACCCATTCAACCCCCAGTTCCCCATTTTAACCCCCCTTTTCTATTCTGTACGTATACGAAGATGGCCGGCTTTCAAGACTTGGACCTCCCAATTGCCCTCCGACGGACCCCACGTCACTGCGTCGGTGCTGCGGCTGCGGCGTCGTGGTCAGCCCCCAATTCGGCGCCCGCGCCAATCATAATAAAGACACCGAGCAAGCCGCGGTCCAAGAAGCGCGTTCGGTTCTCAGATCAGGGTCCTGAGTCTTACTTCTCTTCGTATAATGACGCCGCCAACTCGACAGGCTTGACACCCATGGTCAAGCGGTCCTGGCTAGGTGAGCCGTCTCCAAAGAGGCGGCGGATTCCGGGACGGGCTTCTTCTTCCGACATGATACGGGAAGAAGAGGAGGAAGGGGAGGACTCAATCGATGAGGTCTTTGAGCTGCCCTCGAGTGCTGATGCAGGGAAGAGATACCTTACGCGAAGAATTTCACTCGATGGAGAGGCACAGACTACTGAGGATGGGAGGAAGAAGACGCATAGGAAGAGGGAAGCAACAGTCAAAGAGCTCCAGCGTC